ATAAAATTCTTGGATGGCATAATCGTAAATTCTTGGATGGCATAATCGTAAATTCTCTGATAAAGGAATTTTATAATGATAAATTGAACAAAAAGTAACGCCGTCAGGGGGATTTGTAACGGCGTTAACGTAGCAGGGAGAGTGTGCATGCAAAAGTATATTACAAGGGGGTATGGCGCAATTTTTAAAATACAGGGGGAAAACGCGCAGATTTAGTATATTACAGGAGGGTTTGGTGCAATTTACCCTAGAGTTACATAAGGGTTCATTTACTCACACAAGCCTTATAAATCAGAGAAAAAAAAAGAAGTAATGATGTCACATTGTATTTGCTATTGATAATTCGCATGTGGACGTGGCACGAAAATTTTCGAATATTTCACTTAAAAACCATCGAGATCTAATTTTCATAGATAAACTACTCGAACTATTAAATAAAAACGGGCATTCGTAAATTCGACTCGGTAAGAAACTGAGGGAAAACGGGTGCGGTCCCACTAACATGAAGCGCACCATAAAGGAAAAAGCCTATATGAAGCACATATGAGGTTCCATCCCAAAACCAATTGGTTGAAGGAGGAGTAACCCATTAGACTTATAAGGTGGGTCTATTTTTCATGTATCCCACAAGTGATATTCTAACACGCTCCCTCACTTGTGAGTCATTCGGAAGCCCAAGCCCAACTGGGGTGCCCAAGCCTACTAGAAGTAGACTCCCATAAACGGGTACGTGGGAAAGCAGACTCTCATAAACGGATGCGAGAAGCCCAAGCCCAACTAGGTGCCCCAAGCCTACTAGAAGTAGACTCCCATAAACGGGTACGTCGGGAAGCAGACTCCATAAACGGGTATGTCATCGCACGGTCCCAATAGAACCGGCTCTAATACCATATAAGAAACTGGGGGAAAACGGGTGCGGTCTCACTAACATGAACCGCACCATAAGCGGGAAAAAACTCATATGAAGCCCAAATGAGGTTCCATCCCAAAACCAATTGGTGGAATGAGGAGTAGCACATTAGACTTATAAGGTAGGTCTATTTATCATGTATGAACGATGTGAGACAACTCACAATTGATTTTCTAACAGACTCAACGCAGCTCGACTTGTTTCATAATCAAATCGAACTCAAGTTTGTTTAGTTATTAACAACCCAGGCGCAGTCAGCTCGACTCAGGATCGATAATACAATTTTTTTTTATGTAATTTTATATATTACAGTTCATAAAGATTCAAGTTTGGTTATTTGTTGACATTGATATACGAATACATACATACTTAGCCCTTAGTAAAAAGTAAAAGTAAAGTAACTGTGGTGAATATTATATTATATGTATTATATAATTTGTATGAACTGTAAAGATTTAAGTTTGGTTATTTCTTGACATTGATATACGAATACATATTTACCGTCTCGACTCGATAAAGGCTCGAGCCCAAACTCAGGTGTGACAAGTTCGAGCTCGACTCCGCTAGTATACAATCATATAGGCCACCTAAGCTTGTATGAATTAAATAATACAAAACAAATGAGGGTAAACTGTATATAGCACTTATGCAAATTATTGTTTTTTTTTTTTTAATTAATAAAACATATGCATTTTTTCTTTTTTTATTTTAAGGGAATAGAATTAGGACTCAATAAAAGACAAGTGAGAAACAGTGACTCGGTCAGACTGGAAAAACAAGTGCCCAATTTGTTTTTGGCATAGAAATTTAACATACAATAATAGTCAAATCTCTTTATTTATTTTCCACACTAAAGGCCAAAATTATTAGTGGGAACCACCTCAATAAGCTTTATATACAAAAGTTTGAATTATTCCAAAACATTTTATACCATGACAAAAACAATACATATATATATATATATATAATATTATACAATATGCTTTGTGAGATAAGACTTCCAAAGCAATTGGACCAATTGGTCATTGTTAGCGTAAGATAAGTATGACTTAAGTGATCACCAAGTTTATTTGTCTTTAACAAGTACTTTTTTTTTATTATTATTTCTAAGTGAATATCCAAATTCCAAAAAAAAAAAAAAAAAGTCTTATTTGAATTCATGATTAAACGAGCCTCGTCCAAACTTGTTTAAAGATTGTCTAGTCAACGCACGACTCATAGAATTGCAGCCGGTTGGTTGAAATGACGTCAAGTTTCGGACATTCTCTGTGATAAGAGGGTGCCACAAAGGCTAAAAGATACGTTCTATAGGACAGCGATTCGCCCTTCTATGAATGTTGGCCTACAAAAAGACAACATGTCCAACAACTAAGTGTAACAAAGATGCGTATGTTGCGTTGGTTTTGCGGGCACACAATAAAGGATAGAATCCGAAATGAGGATATTCGAGATAGGATCGCGGTGTCTCCAATTGAGGAGAAATTGATTCAACATCGGCTGAGGTGGTTCGGACATGTCCAACGGATGCCTCTTGATACATCTGTGCGTACGGGAGTTCTACAGCGGGTCAATGATGTTAAGAGAGATAGAGGTCGGCCTAAACTCACTTGGGAAGAGTAAGTTCAGAGAAACTTTAAAAATTGGAATATCTCCAAGGATTTAGCGGTGGGTAGGAGCGCTTGGAGGTTAGCAATCAACGTGCCAGAACCGTGACTTTTGTTCATTTCTCTTTTGCTTCAATCGTTTCTTTTTCTTTTGTTTTTGTTTTTGAGTTTTATTTTGTTTTGTTTTGTTTTGAGTCATTTTTTGTGTTTCTCTTACCACTGTTTCTCTTGAGTTTCATCTCTAGCCTACCCAACTTGTTTGGAACACTTTGTTGTTGTTGTTGTTGTTGTTGTTGTTGTTGTTGTTGTTGTTGATGTATATTATATTGTATTGATCGATAATCCAACTAAGTCGGTAATTAGATATTGGTCCGTTTTTTAAATTTTCATTTTGGCCAAATCAAACTATTGGCTAAACTGATTTTTCATTCCGTTTGGTTTTGACCGAGTGAACACTCATATAAAACTATTACAAAGAATACTTTAAACTAATTATATAACCTATTTTATAAAGACTAAATATTTTATAATCAAATTGTATATTACTGCAATTATATTCAAGAATAATAAGTTCGCGTCAAAATTGATTAAGCTAGCAAATGAGGACATATATGGCTACAATTTCCTGAATATTTTACATTAATCCGAGGTTGCAACTCAAAGGTTGGCTGTGATTCCGACATGTTCTCTAATAAAGAACATAATACTTAGTGGCCCGTGATTAATTAGATATTAAATCTCATAAACTTATTTTTTAAATCAACATGGTTGACTCAAACATTATAATATATGTTACATTTTTTATTTTTTGTATTATATTGCTCTCACGAGACTGCAATGTTTACAAGATAAGAAAATAAAATAAAATAACAGACATACTTTATTCTTTTGGATTGTTTATTTAATTCTTTATTAAATATAATTAAATATAGTAATATGTTTAAGAAAAAAATATAATAGTTTCACAATAAGTTATAAATATTCTGTCAATTTTTATATATCTTTTTTTTAAAAAAAAAAAATACGTGCATGACACGGTCAAAAAGGTGGAGAAATACAATTTTTTATTGTTTATTTTATTTTTATTTTTTATTTTATTTATTTATTTATTTATTTTTTTTTGCTCCTTTTGTCTTCTTTTTCAGTAACTAATTTATTTAAATATTTGTGAATATGTGGTAACTCTTTCTTATTGCAATTTGCAATTGCAAACAAAACAATATAAGTAAAAGATATTTTCCTTGTGCAATGGGAAAAAGAGGACCAATCAATCATGTGGATTTTCTTACCAATTATGTTTCTTTTTTCCCCTCTCCAAAGGCATCATTTGGTGCAACTTGATATTTTGTACCTGTAAATAAATGTTGGAAAAAATCATTTTGAAATTGCATACTTTGACCATTTTGAAATACTAGTGTGTGCCCATGCAATGCACATGAAAGCATTATTACGATTGTGTTATAAATTAAATATATAAATAAATTAATCAAGATATACCCATCATTTTAAAATTAAACCGTGTTGGACACAGTCCGACCGGATGTATCGAGAACCAATTTATAATCAGTCTAGTTCACTTGAATAAAATATTTGCTATTGAATTCGTCAACACCAGTAGGTTGAACTGGTAGGATCGATACGATTTTCTAAATAAAATTTTGTTATATTTAAAATTGTTTTAAATAAAATAGAGATTTATAAATTGTTTATCAATTAATTTAAACATTTGAATTTTTAAATTGTTCAGATTTTTAAGTAACACATTTTATTCAAATTTATTACAAAAAGTACCATATATATATATATATTAATTCATATTTTTTAAGAAAAGTATTAAATTGTATAATTTTTATAAATTAAATTATATGATTGAATTGTATGATTATATTAATGCGTATTTATAAAATTAAATTGTATGATTTTTAAAGAAAAAAAACAAGAAAAATAATAAAACTACTATTTATGGATTTCATTAAATGCTGACCTATTTTTTTGCTACTAATTTTAATAAATATGTTGGCTTTTTATATAAGTATAGATTTCAATTTAGGAATTATAATATTTATTATTAATATATATTATAGGGAAATGTTACCGTCTCGTTATGAAATCATCTCGTCGGGTTTGTAACCGTTAGATCATTCAGTAACCGTCGAAAATAGTTAATCTAATGATTAGAAATTCCGACGGAATGATCCCGTAATGAGACCGTAGCATCTTCCTATGTTATGAATAGATTATCATATCACATTTATTCATAAATTTCAATCAGACTTTAAGTTTTTAATGCCATGTGCATGTATTAGTATTTTTACAAATCTACAAAACACCCGTGATAAATGAATAAATATAATGCCACCTAAGTTCTATCATATGCATACATATTATTATTCTTATTATTTTTATTTTTTCTTCTCTCTTATTATTATTAGTTTTTATAATTAGCCATCAACGGGCTATGTTATAATAACATACAACCATAAAATAAGTTGTCACGTGAAAAACAAAAAATACACAATATTATTATACAATCGCATAATATAGTAACATTAAATTTTTAAAAATAGTTATAAAATTCACTATTTATCAAAATTGTTAACAACTAATTTTCGTAGTCAAATATAGGCATGTAAATAAGACAAGCCGAGTATCCTAAATTCGAGCTCGGCTCGACTCAGTAAATAACAAGACATAAATCAATATCGATCTCGGCTCGTTAAGGCCTCGAGCTCGAATCTTAATGACCTGATCTCGAGCTATAACGAGTCGAACTATAAAAAAAATATATAAAAAATCTTTTTTGAGCTTTTATCGAACCGAGTAGAGCTTGATTCGTTAACCAAACAAGCTTTAGTGAGCTCGAACTCAAACCGAACTGGAGCTTTAACAAAAATGATATTTTGGCCACTTTATTTGTCGTCTACCTCGTCTCCGCCTTTCCCCTCCGTTTGCATCTCACTCCAAAACTTCATTATTTTCCTCTGTTTTAATCCACCGCCTTCTTCTCTCTCACCTCACGCTCCTGTATTTTTCTCTCTGCGATCTTTTTCCTAGTTGTGTTGGGTTAGGAAACAAAAACACTGTCAGGTCTTCTCTCTTTGTTTCTTCTTCAGACAACCTAAATCATAAAAGAAAAAAAACAAAGGGTGAAAAAAAAGTGTTCAAGCAAAAATAATAATACTTGCAGCAAAAATTAAGACTCTTCTTTTCTTTTATCCTTCTTTCTTATCTCTCTGTTTTTTAAAATTTTTTTCCAATTTATCAGAGAGCAGCAACTCATGGCCGGCAGTGATGAAGTAAATGCTAACGAATCAAAGGTAAATTAAATTGCAGATATTTGCTCCATTTTTGTTGCCTAATAATTTCATGGCTGCTAAAGATCGAATCTTTTTTATGTTCCCTTTAGAGGGTTCTCTCAGTTGTTCTTGATTTTTGGAATAAAACTTGATTTCATGGCTAAAGATTGAATCTTTTTCATGTTTGATTTAATGGGTTCTTGTTGCTTTTTCCATTATTGTGTATTTGCCCCTTTGTATTCCCCTCTTTGTTTTGTTTGTGTACTGATTTGGCAGTCACCAAAAACCCCCATTTTTGCGGTTTATGTGTGTTGGGGTTTTATTTAGCTCTGTTTGCTCAATTTTTCCCATCTTATTGTCCTCTTTTTTTATGTCATCTCATCTTTTAGCTTAACTTTCCTTCGATTGCCCTTCTTTGTCTAGGAGACAAGATTTCAAAATACCTTTACATATTGTTTCCTTTTTTTGTCCCTTTTTTTTTTCATGTTCAAATTTGTATTTTCTAATTTTCTTCCCCTCAAAGTTTCGATTTTTTACCCCTTTTCTTGTTTTTACAGAGGGTAGTTCCTCTTAACACATGGATCCTAATCTCAAATTTCAAGCTTGCCTACAACATGCTCCGGCGACCGGACGGCACTTTCAACCGTGACCTAAACGAATTCCTCGACCGGAAAGTGCCCGCCAACGCCAACCCGGTCGCCGGAATCTACTCCTTCGACGTAATCATCGACCGCTCCACGGGCCTCCTCAACCGTGTCTACATGCCGGCCCACGACAATGGGCCCGCCGGGCACAATTACAAACTCCCGGACCTCGACCGGCCCCTCAGCC